GAAATTTGGGTCATTCTCTACAACAAAGTTGTTGCATGGAATTGATTTTAACACGAGCAATGATTTTGACCATATTGAGGTTTGACATTTGTGAAATAACCAGAAGACCAGACAATTTCGAGAAACTGGGACAAAAGAAACTGCTAGATATACTAAAATACCCCTCTGCTTGTTTGAGACAATCGTGTTTGGTCTAACAACGTTCTTGAATTTCAAAATAGAGGAACTCTAAACCTCCTAGAGAGGCACTGCACTTGATGTCTCGTTGCAGTTTAGAATAAAGTCAGCAAGCTTACCTGAAGTACTTGTGGCAGTTCCAAAGAGACTTTTCCCAGTGGTTTTTGCCCCTGCATTGAAACCAGTATTTAGTCCACCGAAAAGCCCACCTGTAGCTGTTGGTGCTGTATTAAGACCGAAAGATCCAAAACCTATTTGACAAAGAGCAAAGGAAAGATTCAATGACAGATCATGAAGATAATAAAATGTGAGATAGGCATTAGCTGGAAAAAGGAAAGTGAACTGAATATTTGAGAATTGTGGTCTTATGAGGAAATACTGTGTGTTGCATGTAATGCCAGAGAATCATGTGAGTCATCAGAGGCTTTTGGTGTAAAGAACAGGACAGTTATAAATAGCTGTCTGGTGAATGTAATAAGGATGAACCTCTATGTAGTATCTTAGAAACTGTTCTTTGCACTAAAAGCATGTACAACTCTGCCTTGATGTCATCAAGTAATTTTCATGAGTGGTCTATTTATGAATATACTGATATAAATTTCCGTATGTATTAGAATTAGGCTTTTACTAAACGATTAACGCAGAAGGAGGATCACCAAAGCACAACAGGATCTCCTTCCAGGCTGGATGTCTATGGAACAAGCTGAAAATTATTTCCAGTTTTATCTCCTGGTTGTTATGATAAAATCATGCTTTATGCAAATTTCCTGGACAATTAAAGGCTGTAGTTCTGTACTAAAATGTTTCAAAACAATTTCAACATATTTCGTCTCAAAATATTTGTACCTTAAGCACAGCTATTATGTTGTTTTGTTTACATGGAAGTGAATCATTCCGAACTTTGCCAAACAACAGACCAAAAGCCATATTGAAAAATATCAAGGTTTTTGCAAAAAATATTTCCAGGAAAGTTAAATTCCAAGATTTTCTCTGGCAAATTTTCTCTGGTGCTCCTAAACCAAAATAGATAAATATACCATTCTTGTTTGTATTACTTAGATTTGTAATAAGGCTACATAAAAACTGCTGACAAGAAACTTTCAAGCAGTTACAGAAAATCACATTTTAAAACTTTGTTGTCGAAGCACCTGATGAAGATGTGAGACTCTTCTCTATGATATTCAGTGGCGAAGCCAGGTTGGGTGGAGCGGTCAGGCTCAGATACAATATGCCACGCCCTTTTTAACCAGGCCCAATAATAAAACGCCTATTTCTAACTTGTGAAAATTTATTCATGGTGGAACAAGGGAATTGGAACATTCTCAATAGGCAAGCGGCACTGATTGGTCAACCTCTACAGTCATGTGCTTGTGTTTCTGATTGGCCTATTTCGATCCACAACTGGGTATATATATTTCTTAGCGTAGAGTTTTTTGATCTATGTTCTGACGCTTTAAACTCTAAAAAGTGTCAGACAAAAAGCTTTAGTTTACTAAATGCTTGCTTTTTTCAAAGCCATTTTCAAGTTTTGTACCACCAAAGGAATTGGAACAATTTTCCAACAAATTTAGTTCATTTTGTGAGCTACCAGCAGTAAGCGATGGTCAAAGAACTCTGTAGAAAATTTCATTTTTATATGGTAATATCAAAAGTCAACCAAAAGTGTGTAGAATTTACAGAATGACTGGCTTCTGATTTTTGGCTAGTACAGCAATTTCATCATTTAGCTTAGGAGGAATTTTGAATTTTTTTCAGGATAAGAACAAGAAAATCACCCAGAAACAATTTTCTTATTTTCATTACATTTTCCCCTGACTCTCAACAAGTACAGAGTACACAAAAGATGCAATTTGTTTGTGATGATTCATTAGTCAACAACATACTATTCACACTGTTTAAGTTGATATTTCCACACATTAACTTAATCAACAAAATAAACGTTATTGTGAACTGCAATGTAATGACACATCATAGCTCTGCGTTAAACATGATCAGCCTATCAAGAAGGTCCAAACAACGTTAGAAAATCGATGCAATTCACTTTGGTTGAGCAGAAAATTTCACCATGATAAGCCTGACAGGTAGCAAATATATCAACAAAGTTCCTTTCCACATGACAGATGTTCTTTGAGGGCCAGTAAACACAGTCGTTCGTAGCATTATCGTAGCAGTCATCTTACAATACCTCACTCTGCCTCTTCTGAGTGCAACATGGGCCTATCCTCTGGTTCTGCTCAATTGATAGCCTAATACCAGAAGGTTTCACAGACGAGTGAAAATAACTTGCACTGGAAATGCTTCCATGCCTTTACTTCCCTCTTTGCAAATTAAAGTAAAAGTATCACAAAATTGAACCATGGTTAACTCACGTTTCGTCTCAGATTTGCGAGCCGTAACAACTTTTTAACAAAATATGCATTGAAGTGAATTCCAAAACAAGGTCAGGCCATTTCGAATGAGCCTGACGAAATTTATATTTTTGACTAGGTATTATTTCTGCCAAACACACAAGATTGTATCCCTAGCCAATGACGTAAAACGCTTGATTGTTTTCAAGACAGTGGCAAGAATTATTACCCTCGACCTTATTGTTTCCTTAACAACTGGTCAGACTATTCTGAAATAGTCTGATGGGAGCACCAATGATTTTTCCACCGCTCACTCCTGCAGAACTGTCCATTTTTTGCCAAGGTTTTCCAGCAGACAAGCAGTCTGTCTCCTAAAATTCCCCAACAAATTCTCCAAAGAAATCACGCTGATAAATAATGAACTGAGAGTTTCTCATTTGCAACTAGTTCTGGAGGCCGGGATTTATAGCATCTTTTGAAAGGGGGCTGTCATCATGCCCAAGCTGCTCAGGGGCTTGCTGTGGCTCCTGTATGGCTTTCTAGGAAAGCCACTCCTTATAAAGTGGGTTGCAAGAATTTGGAGCACCAGAAATGTTAGGTTTAAGTGCAACCAGAACAATACACTTTGAAGTGCAAAATCAGTATACACGAGTAATAAATTAACAGCCACCCTGAATTTCTTTGCAAAAATATTGTTAATTTTCAAACAATGAATTTATCGAATGATTCTATTTTGAAAAATAATTGTTGGAAGTGGGTGAGATATGATTACAAGTCTTCCCATGTCGGAGAAATCAAGACTGACCTGTGTTTGATGTGGCGGTTCCAAGTGATGTGCCTGTTGTTGAGGAGCCAAATCCTCCAAACGGATTTGCTTGGCTCTGTGCTGGCGCGCCAAAACTAAATTGTGCCGCCATGTTTTCTTCAATGAACCAAAGAGTAAGTTGTTGTGGTTGCAACTTGAAATTTACTGCTGCTGTTGTTGTCGTGTTGGAAAATGGCCTCCGGAACTAAAGCAAGTAAAGATGATTCCGAAATTGAGAGGTAAAACTGGGATTTATTTCATCACAGATTCATGTTGTATGGAGGAAAAACAGAAAGACAAAATTTGTGATGGGATTTTTTACATGAAAATTTCAAGTTCCCGGGAAGGCAAGTGGAGCGAAACCTCAACTGCATGGAAAATAATAAATTAAGATCATTTGTCAGCTCTGACTTTGTGCAATTTTGACAAAACACTAATTTCTTTTCTGCCAAACAACTTTTGGAAACCAATTTCCCTCAATGGATTTCTCAATTAGTGCCCTAATTAGCACTATATAAATATAACTGGAGGTCAGACTCAGAAAACAAACGGTGCTTCTAGAAACTTGACCAGGGCCATAAATTAAACAAAATTAGAGAAATGGGCCCTTTGTCTTCATACATAGGCATAGGAGAGTTTTTAGCTGGGAGGGCTGCAAGCCCCTAATAAAGCAACATTTGTCACATTCAGGCGTCATTGGGGCAGTTTGATCTCAATTAAAGATAAATACTATGCCCCCTTTAACATTTTGCCCACCCAATGGAATCCATGTAAAGGTCTCGCCAGATATATGCCAACAAACACACACACTGCCATTCTGCATCCACTACACCCAAGCCCTTATGTCACGGTGCACCAAATAAATACCTTGTCACTTTACAAATTTTAGTTACATTTTTAGATGTGACAAAAAATTTTCTCAATCTTTCAAATTCTTGTGTGGGCAATGGAAAATGCAACAAAACAATTTCTTCAATTTTCCAATTTGCATTCTTTTTGGATGACTGCAAGACACTAAATGAAAATGCATGGTGCACAAGAAGGCCAGTCTGATAAATCGAACTTCCCACATGTGCTCCATGAGAATGAAGTAAGCCAGTCAAACTGCTCTAATATCATAAAATCAATATCACAAGTACTCAAGGATCAAGATATCTTACATATAATTATTCTGAATCTGATGTATAAAATTTAGTTTGAGGATGTTTGGCCTATTTTTCAGAACAGGGTCCATTAATTTTATTTTTGAAAATTAGAGTCTTTGCAGTCATGCTGACTAATCCAAGTTTAAAATCTTTTTATTCTTTCAATTTCTATAATTGACAAATTACAAATTACAAAATGTTCCTTATTGTATCAGAATGGTCTCTATCATTCCCTGTTGATGCTGTTTATCCTGTTACCCTTAAACTTGAAAGTAGAAACTCCACCAGATTCTGCAGAGTAGTAAGGAGGGATGGAGTTTAATAGTTCCCCTCTTAATACTTCTTTCTAATGCAAATTCCTAGCAGTCACCTTGAACTTCAAAGTAGAGGGAGGATGTGGAAAACTGGATTGTTGTCAATTATTAGCAATCTATCTTACTGCAAAGAGCAGGGACCATGATCCTCTCTGCTCTCCCTATCTCATAGGTTAAAATCTCTTCAAATATCTTTTTGAATAAAGCAGCTCCCTAAATGTCTTATTTGTCAAAATAAGACAAATTCCTAAAAGCCAATTTTTTCTTTACTTATATGTCCCTTTTATTCTTTTCCTTAGCCTTATATTCTCATATATGCCTTAATTTTCTAGGTTGGCAAGAGAAGAAATACTAAGAGATATAAAGAAGGCGAAGGCACGGACTGAGACACTTGGTGCTGTTGGATGGTAATTTTGTATTTATCTAAAGTTTACAATGGCAAAGATGGTGTGTTAAACAACAGAACTGAAACCCAAATCTTCTAAAAGTACAGGTTTTATAAAAAAAATTGAAAATCTGTGTCCATGAGTTTCTTAACTTTTTTACTGCACTTTGGTGAATAAAGATGTCTATAAAATTTTATAATATCAAAATGGTTTGTTAATTTGGCCTACCATCATATATTTTTATAACCACCAACATAGTATCTGTCAATTAAAACAGATTTTAACTATACAACATATTTTACAAAAATAACAAGTACAGTGACAATAAAGACATCATGAAATTACAATAAATTAACATTTTAATTGATTCAGACTATCTCAACTTAAATATCAATTTATTGTATTTTCATGGATTTTTGTCAAAAACTGGAATGTCAATATTCTGATTTTTATCAAATGGATTCACATCAATAGAAGTTGGAATACTATTAACACAATGTATTTGTTCTCCCCTAACTTGTTATTTGTCTGATCATCAAGCTGCTTTTTGCAAAGTCAGAATCTATTACATCATATTTTAAATTTCTTTCTTATCCAGGCGACCATGTCCTCTTCCAAAAACCAATAAAAGATTCCTACAAAACACACTTGTTGGGACATTGCAAGCTAACAGAGCTGAATTAAAGCGACAAAAACAGAAAGAAACTGAAACAGATGAAGACAAATTTACGAAAAGAAGCAAACATTCAAACAAAGAACACACCACAGATTTGTATCATTATGACAGTTTAAGTAGAACTTCCTATGAAAAATCTAAAAGAGACAAACAAAAATACAAAACAAAGTCAAAAAGGAGAGATGACAAGCACAAATGATTCCCTCCTACAGCAGGCAGATGTCATGGAACGATAAAAATGTCATTACTGGCGGCTCAACCCAACATTGTCATGTTTTTAGGCATGAATCAGTTAGTCCTTAAACTAAGTGATCATAACATACATCCTTGTTAAATAAAATGTTGTATTGATTTGGCCACCCAACTGATTCAACACATTGTAGCCCAGTCATGTTTAATAGGTTGAGCAGATTGCAACCAGTAAATATTGAACACAACCTACAGATACCCAAGTGTTGAGTTCTAATCTATTGTATTGCCAGAGGTGAACAAGCACTAGTCAACCATTTAGTGAAGCAAATAAATTAACAAGTAGATAGACTTGAAAAGTCCCAAAACATTGAAGAGAAGCCACACTCGAACACATCTATGTCATTAATAACCTTCAGAGATTAATTTCACCTGATGAAAAGCTGTGCTTGAAATTACATAAGCCTTAGTTTCTTCATTTATTTTCTTCAAACCTGTATTTATTCATAATTTGTTGTACAACACATAACAAGTATTTTTATCTTAAATATTTTTGGGAAACCTCTATTTTCGATGAAGCACCACCAGAGGAGGGTTGTTATGTTTATTTAACTCTCAAAGGACTTTCTGAATGTCTGCCCCTGTCGAAAACATTTTTGTAGACATCTCAAATGGTAACAAGTCATTTACTGTTAATCAAGCTTCACCTGTTCTTCCTCATGTGTCATCTACTGCATCTCTTGCACCAAATGTAATGTTTTGTATTTTGGTGAAACATCGCACCAGATTAACAACAGGTTTAGCGAGCATTTACGTAATGTCAGGAACAAAATCCACCTCAACAATAAACCTGACAGTGATCCTGATAGCAACATTTCCAAACATTTTAACCTGGCGAATCACACAGAAGATGATGTGGTAGTTCTTGGCCTCTTGTTTGCCCCAACCGACAGTGCAAAGAGAAAGTCACTGGAAAAACGGATAATTTTTAAACTTGGAACTTTATATCCTTCTGGACTTGATAAACAGTTTACCTATCTTCAATGAACCCACCCCCCCCCCTTTTTTTCTTTTCTTCATATTAGTGTGCATATATATATACATATACATAGATTCTGTATTTGAGTATATGTATATATATATATTTATTAGCTTTTTCCATATATTTCTTTTCCAGCTCTTATATCCGTCTTCCCATTCCATTTGTCGAATTCCATATTCCTTTGATGTTTTTTAGTTCTATCATCGCTTTTCAATCTTACTTGATAACAGGCTTTGCTAGAAATGTCGTTGATTATTTTAGAAAAAAATTTTCCTGGTACAATTTATTTGCATTGATCGTTATTTAAATTCATCATATTGTTCCACACGCATTTTAGTATATTTATGGAACATTTATGGGACATTATGGAACAATAGCCCCACTAATGAATGCTACCAAATATCAGAAATTGATTCTGCCAATTTTTAAAGCAAGATTGAAAATACCTCAGTAGTCTTTGTACTGGTATATGAAATCTTGAACTATGGCAGAATTCAATCAAGAAAATACACAAAGATTATAAATAAATCGTTCTTGATTTAGTTAAGAGCAAAGTATAATGGACATGTTATGATATAAGTTTACAAGCTCTTTATAAGCTATGAACACTTTGTCAAGACAAATAAAAGCTCATCTAATTTTATGTACTTTTGATAAGCACAGTTATACGACAAGGCTACAAATGGCAAAAATTTGCCAGTTTAAGACAAATGCAAGAACTTTAAATGGTTGCAGAGGATTTTCTTGCTAGAAACCTGTGCTTTATTTGACGAGAGAGTTGCCTAAAATTGCTTTTGCTTCTGTTGTCACTTTCAAATGTGAAACTTGAACAAAATCCAAGACAAATTTTACTTGGTTTTGTTTCCTTGTGTCAAGGGTTAAAGTTCATTTTGGAAATGGAAAAGGAAATGGAAATGAAAAGCAAGCATTGTAACCCTCTGTAAACATTTGCAAAGCATAAGAATGACAGCTTTATTAGTAATGTATGAAAATAAAGGAGAAGATCATTGGCAAGACTTAGTTACTTTGTACAGAATGTATCTCTCTTATAAACCTGTCCTTCTGCAAATTTTGTGGAGAATTAAAAGATACTTATTTACAGTAAAACCACACTGGTGCTATCTAGAACATGATGTTGTCCAAAATTTGGCTCCTTTTAATTTCATTGGCCCATGTCATCCCATGGTGATTGAATGCAAGCAAACAAAGCCAAAGGCTGACATTGCAAAATTCTGTACAAAAAGTGCTCCATCTCGGTGTTGTTATACTGGAGGATGTTCCGGAGGTTGTATTAAGGACACTTGGTGATGCCTAAAGCAGTAAAAGAAATTTCAATTCATTAACTGAAAAACGATAGTTTAAAAAACTTGCTTTTTTGAGTTTATGGCAGCAAACAAGCTTTATTAGTATTCCTCATCAAATAGGAATATTTCTCAGCAACAATATGAAATAGTTTGTTCATAATATTGGTAATTATTCTGTAGTGTGAATCATTTGCAAGGACAAGATAAATACAATGCTTCTCCAATTATACAGAAGATTGTATTGTATTATCTTGTCTTGTCTTGTATATATACATTATCTAATTATCTTGTATACATTTTGTTAGATACAAGAAAGCAAGGAATTATTTGCAGAGGAAATATATGCATAAGAAATATTTACTAGCGTTGCAAGGAGAGCTTCTATAAAAAGGGGCAGATTTTAAATTTATTAGAGGGAATCTTAAGACAAAAACTTAAGGAAGAAGCTTTGCAACTAGCCAACTTCAAAAGTATATATTTGTGGAATACCGTAAAAGCTCCATTAAACCCCCCCTCTCTATTAAACCCTCCCCTCCTCTTTAGCCTTTGATGTCAAACATAGAAATCATGCGTATTTAGTGGGTCTCTTGACGGGTGTGATGATGAAAATATTGTGTGCATTAAATACAGCCTATGTAAAGACTAACTTGTGCAACTTAGTAGCCAGTCGAAATTTGTTTTGAAGATGTCCAGGGGTCATCAATTTATCCATGATGTTGATAAAGATGACCTTATAATTGGTTGATTAAACCTTTGAAGCTGTAAGCAGTTTTTAGAGAACATTGTATGATAGTTATAACACAGAACATTTACAACAAAAAATGGCCAAGGGTATTTTTAAAACTTTCTTGTTTCAAATTTTTAATAAGCCCCCTCTCTCTTATAAGCCCACCTCTAGGACAAAAAAATAAATAAGCCCTGGGGGCTTAATAAAGCTTTTACGGTTCACTTTTACAGAATCAACATCAACAACCAAAAAAATTATCGCCAGAACATTTTTCCTGGAAGGTAGCTAATCATTGCATGTTTAAAGTAACAAACTTCATCCTTTAAAGTGATACAATTTTTCATTATCACCAAATATTATAAGCTATCAAATGATTAACCCCATTTGTGGACAAAGATTTAACAGCCATAGAAAATTTATTTGTGGATTCATTTTAAAATAGTTTTCAGAAATCCATCAATCAATTTTTGAAAGATCAAAAGACTTCTATCAGATGCACAAGTATAAGCTTTTCCTGCCAGGATCTTTCAACAATTAATTAATTATAAAAAAAGGGAAAAAATACAAAGAAAAGAGAAAACATGCTTACCGAACAAGTTTGTATTTATCCCGAATTGCTTGCTGTTGATGAGATGCTGCATCAACAAATGTTTTGTGTACATCTATAACACAACTTTGTAGTTCCTCTAACTTATATCCAGTGTAATAACTCAATGTTGGTGTCTAGAACAAAATATTACACATTGATCCCTTTAAAAGAAGACATTTTTAACACATCATCATCATCATCATCATCATCAAAATTACATTTAACGACCCATTGCGGGTCGATACAAATGTCTATGCATCTATCGTTTGCTGAAATGGTTTCTACATAGACTGTGAAAGGATTCTGAGTTACACTGATTAACTATGTTATCAGGCAAGCTATTCCAAATGGGTATGATCGAAAAGTAGAATGAAAACTTAACAGCATCAACTCTTCCAAATTTTGGCATAATCTTATTTGAGTGTGACCCTCTTGTCATTCTAAAAGCTGCTAATGAAAAAAAGTCAAGGGGTTTCAAAGCAACCTGGTTCGTAAACATTTTATGAACATATTTTAACTGAAATAATAATCTGCGCAATTTGAGTGAGTCCCATTTTAAATGTAACAATAATTCTGTTACACTTGACCGCTGACGATAATCACCCATTACAAAACGGGCTCCATTTTTTTGTACCATTTCAATTCTATGCTTCAATTCAGCTGTGTGCGGGGACCAAACCTCGCAGGCATAGTAGAAATAAGAGTAATTATATATAGTGAATAAACTATTTTTTACTCACCCAGATTGGTAGACCAAGAGTACTAGAGGCCATACACACACAGGAAGCAGCTATTGTTGATGGTAGATATTTCAGAAAAGGGTCGTAGTCTTGAAGAGTTAGCTCACACAGGAACTAGAACAAAGCAGAATGACATATCAAGTAATATTTTAAATTATTATTCTGGAAAATTCATTTGGGGCACAAAAACAGTAGGTGTGTGTGAAATGCTAGAAGAATGTCCTACATAAAATCAAAAACCTGTAAAATAAAAAGGGATTTCTCTACTAGGATATATTGAAATGGCAAATCTAGTACACTTGATCAAGCTCAAGCACCTCTACTTGCAAGACCTGAACATGAGTCCTACAAACTTCAAAACAGTTTAAATCTTCAGAATTAGATTAGAACCATCAAGGCTTACTTCAGTGGACAAATGAAATATATGTATGTATATGTTTTAATCAATTAAAGACTGATATGGTGTCCTTACCCTAGCAAGAGACTCGAGCTTACTTCCTCCAGCTGGAGCCTTTGCAGCAGCAATGTATCTCTCTAAGAAATTTAGTGCTGTTGGTGCAGATAAATCAAATTTTAGGGTCTTCAGAATGAGATTCTCCATTCGTAAAACCTTGAAAAACAAAATAATTATGATAATGAGCTGGTAGTGTTTCTTGACATGTTTTTTGATGAACTTTTTAGTGACATGACAATCTCTGATGACAATATTCTGATGAAAGACTTTCAGCTGTAAAGCTCAGTCCACTAAACTAGATGACAAATTATATGATTAACCTTATAAGGACAGTGACACTTGTGTCTGGAACTGTTTTTTAAAGACTTGAAGTGAACAATTTGAGTTGAAAGGCTGGTTTTTCTAAAATACTGTTTGCTCAAAAAAGCAAGTTCTTTTCCTTGAAAAGGAATTTTTTTATCACAACTTTTTCATATCTAAGAGAAGCTCACCTTAAAATGTACTAGGAGAGCTGTTTACTACTCCCCAGCTAAAAGTCTTAAGGCAAGGCCTGAGGTAATCTTCAGTTGTACAATTTTTTTACATAACAGAACAACTAGATCTAATGAGAATCATTTTACCTGTTTTGCTGTATAAGTATCATCAGTGATATAGACAAACTCTGAGACTTCTGGAGGGTAAATCTCTTCAAATTTTCTAGATAAAGAGATTCAGCATGAGATTGAAAGCAATAATTCTAACATACTTTGAGCATTGTCTTTCACTCCATAGCAAAACACATGACAATAGAAGATGTATCTACAAAAGTTCACAAGAAAATTAATCTATTGTTCTAACAAACTGAATGGTTCTAAGTTGCAACTCATCAGTTTCATGCTTGATTCCATCATCAGGCAACTTTTCCTGAATGTAGAGCCCTGCCTGAATGGCATCAAGCACTTTATGACAGACCTGAAACAATAGTTTTCATAACTGTATCTACACAATGATAAGAGCTGATATATCTGTTGACTTAAAGGCTCTATGTCCCATCAGTCAACCGTTCCTTGACTCTGCAGCGTGTTCAAAATTGAGAAAACATTGAAGGGTAACCGATTTGCCCTGTAACAATAAGTCTATTGTATTGTCTAATGGGAATTTAAATGGCTAGTAAAATGTGTTGGGACATATTGCCTTTAATAGCTAGAGAGGTGCCTGTCAAAATCAAGATTACCATTATAAAAGGGTGGAATATTTTCATTAGAATTCCCAAAACCTATTAGAGTTACTAGCACGTTGGCAGAATTATTGAGAAACAAAATCAAAGACACCATTGCTTAATAGAGAAACTTACGAAGCAATCAGCATGCATGCTGTCCCAACAAGTTGTAATTTTCCTCTTAAGACAGACATACAGGACAGGAAACGATCAATGTAATTGACTGTTAGATAAAGAGTCTGTTCCATTAACTTGTATTCTTCTGCTACCTCTACTAGCCAGTCAACAAGAATTGCTCTCATGCTACAATTTATATCAGTTTGTTTCTTCATGTAGCCTGGCTTTGGTCTACATTTCAGCTAAAATAAAGGAAATAGTGATAAACAGGCAAGTTGGAAGAGAAATGGGAAGAAGATACCCAGGATTAGATGGAGTGGAAGAGATGATTGTCCGCACGGGCTAACCTACCTAGTGGGAATAAAAGAGGCAGCATAAGATTTTTGTAAGCAAAGATAAAGATCAACTGGCATATATCACCAAATCTAATGAGAAATTCCTCTCTTACTTACAAGTGGTCAACCATTTTTAGCCTACCTTACTTGTGTTAAAAGCTAAACATGTAGAGAACATCTTCATTGCATCTGCTGCTAATTGCCTTTTGGATTTTCTGAAGTTTAACTTTTACAGCCCCTTTTAGCCATGAAAGGAAATTGATAATGCAGGGACTTTAAATGATATTAAATGGTCACTCAGGGTTCAAACCAGTGGCAGTCAGCTCCCCCCAATATTTTGGAAGGCAATGATCGTTGTTAAAAGACAATGGTAAAATAATTGCTAAACAAACAATGGCTTGCCCCATAATATTTGGCCAAGTGTCCGCCACTGATTCAAACTACAGGAATATTGAAAGAAAGAAGGTCAGTGGAGTCTAAAAAGGAAGGAAGATACCTCTGCCTGCCGTAGGTATTTGTAAATATCTTCAGCATATTCAGACACACCAAGAAGCTTGTCAGAGTCTTGGTCAATGTTAGCTATTTCAGACGAATTTACCACTTCATCTGACCCAATTACAACACAGTCTGTATTGCAGGGCGATGATATTACCATAGGAGATTCTATTTAAAAAGAAAACAGAAATTGGTGAAAACCAGTTACAACAAAAATTTGAAGATAGCAAAAAAGTGCAAAAGATGGCATACAAGCAATCAGATATACAAGCAATTATGTAGATCTTGACACTTGCAATAGAATAGAAGATCGTTAGATTCATTGCTAAACTATCTACTATAAAAAATACTCAAAATCTGATAGGAGTGATTGCTCAAGCTCCCCTGCGTGCTCTCCTTGCAAGCTGTGGGAAGTTGTGAATCGCTCTCCAAAACTAAACTTGAAGGGAAAAGAAGGGATGATTCACAACTAAACTTCCAAAATACAAACAACCAGTGCTAAATGATTTAATAATGTCATAATGAATCTAACCTGACAATAGATTATCAGGCAGTACATCAGCAAGTGGGGGTCTTGAAATTGCTTTGGCAGTTTCAGATAATGATGATTGTAGTACGACATCAACATCTGGTTTGTTAAATCCAGGCTGCTTCTGTTCGTCAACAAAAATGCTAAAAGCATTGCTACTTGAAAATTGTGGTTGATTTTCATCTTGGTAGATTTCGTTTGTGACTAGCGGATTAATTTGCACATTCTGGATGTTAAAAAGATTATTTTAAAAAAACATCTTGCAAAAGAACCTACAAAATCCTAATTTTCTCAGATAAGACACACATGTCAGGCCATCCTTTGAAAGGCATGCAATCACACATGCACATCTTGGCACCCGCATCATTTATAGGAAACATTCTTAGTCCCTGTTTACATGATAATGATTTCATTTCATATCATATTTAGGGCCTGTTTACATGGAGGCGAGTATCCCGACTAGCGAGGTTTCCCAGCAAGGCAGGTTAATTAACTGCCAGTGTTTAAATATAGCAGGGCACAGCTGTGGAGAGGCAGTTTGGGCCCAGGGGTAATTAAACAAAACTGGATCCCCTTAAGAAAATCTCCTGTGGCCATGCCCTTTAGTCTCCCAGAGAACAAGAGAAACATCCTTTTTAGGTACAATTGTTTAAACATTTTTTCAGGATTTTTACAAGAATGTGCAAAAACATTTTAGATGATTCAAGGGCATGTGGACATTTCTCTGCGATAAACTTACAGGTGTTGATTTCGTATAAGTCAGCTGAAATGGTAGCTTTTTTGCACCGTAAAAAGATCTTCTTACTTTTTTACAGGCCCAGACTTTTAGTCCCTCCTAACCCCCTTGTTGATGCCCCTGAGCAGGGAAACTTGGTCAGGGGGATTAAATTTCTGGAAAAAATTGGAGAATTATTCTGCAATTTGTGATTACATGGATGACCAGGAAACCCGACTGAGTGAGATCCCACCTCTGCCAGGAAACTGGCCTCCATGTAAGTTTCCCAATCTGACTGTTTACATAAAAGTTTTCTTTTCATCTTGTATTTGGGCTCTGTTTACATAGGATTGCTATAATGAGGGGTGTTGGCTTGCGTTCTCATTCTTTATCAGATTCAACCGTTTACACAATAATAAGATGTATTGGAATTGCTTTATCCCACATTTGAGCATTTTCATTTTAGATGCAAAACTGTATTAAGCATATCAGGTTGGATAGTATTTGTGTAAACTGAAGGCCGAGCCAGTATGAAATCCCTAGTTCACATTACTCTGTTTTCATTTTTATCTAACTACGGAGACCCTCTCTTTGTGTCTTTTGTGTTTTCTAATAAAATTTTTATATTCCATATTTGCAAAATAACTTTGAAAAAAGAAAATGTATACCCTTGTGCAAATAAATAATTTTAAAAAGGGCAAAAATTTTAAATTTTGTACTTCCAATAAAAGTTCATAAAAACTTCATTATGCTAAATTAGAAATAGCCCCCCATTGCCCTCCTTAATTTGCCAAGGAGTGCTACTGACTGCATGCCTGCAAATTTATTCCTGGTATGGCCTGCATTTACACATATGAGTTATATATATACCTACAGTACTAGAGTAGAAACAAAATATTTCACTTGAAAGTTGCTTAACTTTTCATGTTTGATAGAAATAAAAGACATAACATGTGCAGAAAAGAAGCTGTTCAAAGTTGCTCTTATATCATGAAAAAATGGTGCTAAATTTAATTTTAGGAAGTTGTTTGAAAATGTTTGAAAAAACTTATTAAACCCTGCAATTATTTACGTTTGGAACCTTGTAAATTAAATGCGGAAAGTTGGTTAAAATATTGGAAAATTTTGCAATAAAATGTACAGTGTGGACAAGCAGTAACTGGCTGCTTGTGGTTTAATGCCACAAGCCAGTTTCATGAACAAGTAAAAGATTAATTTTACCGTTCGTGTCAACACTTGACTTAACAGCATGAACGTTTTATTTCGATTACATAGTCCTTGCATTAAGGAGCTGTAGACGTTGAAAAGTGAAACTATGCGTTGCACCGTTACTAAAGATGGCACCCTTCGACCGGAGTGCCAAGTTGGCTAGGCCCTTTCACAGCTCCAACTTAATGGATAGAACTCATACTTTTTAGAATGTGCATATAATATAGCTAAATTCCGTGTAAAAAAGGGATGTTTCAGTTGTCTTAAGTTTTATAAATTTCTTATAAAGCTCCTCTTTGGTGTGAGCTTTTTGCATTCTTGACACCTTTATGTTTTTAGGCGCACTTTTCTTTGGCGCTATTTATGACTTTTGTTCAACAGCCAAAAACCGTTACCATTGAATAGAATTCAAGACTTAAACTTTCATCTTGAAAAACAATTCGTTCTCTACATGATTTATATGATGAATTTAGAACACAATTGCTAATTATTTTATACCTGTTTTGCAGCTCGAGACGGTTGCTTTCGAGTGCCTGCAACATTTGTGATATTTCCGAGAGCTGCTCGCTTGTTCGGTTTCACCATGTTGTTTTTCGTATCCTGAAGCTTTGACTTCTTCCCACTATGCCTTTCATTTCTGTTATTGGTAATTGCTGTTAGGCTGCTCTGCCGCAACGTTATTGTAGACATTTTATGTGGTATTTTGTTTTTGGAATCAGAACGATTGATTGTAAACTGACAGAACGAGAGCCTTCGACTTCGAGGTGCTCAATGGAATTTGGCTTTCTCTGAATGAACCAGTGCAGACTTCTTACCACATTGCAAAGCTGTTTTGACTTATTCTGTGTTTCATAAGTAGGAGTTGGCTGCTAGAGGCTTTTAAAAATCTCCCTGAGCATTCAAGCCAATATGGTGCATTGGAAGAAAATGATCAACTGAAATTCTGCATGATCAAAAAAAGAACCAAAAGTTCAGATTGGTTGCTTTTCAACCAATCACTGACGCTTGCATTATCAGATGGAGGCGCAGTCAACAGGGCGTCAGAAAAACAAAACCCAATGAATTTATCTTTTAAAGGGCCACTCCAGCCCAAAACTTTTTTTGCATAAATTGGTAGTTAGTCGAGGAAAAGAAGCTATCGTGAAATTTTTTTTCGAAAAGCTTAACTCGTTTTCCAGATATAGACGCTCAAAGTTGAGAATCACCGTAAAAATACGACAAAATTTTTTTCGGAAAAAGCACTTTGTGACGTGTGAAAGGGCTATTGTTTCAACATTCGGCGCTATTGTTATACGTTCGCACTGAAATTCGCACGACTCGGTAGAGGCTCGGAAGAGGCGATTCATGTCGGAATCTCGGTTGTCGTTTTATTTATTTTCCTTCATTGCGATTAATGTTCAGCGAAGGCTTCCAGCCAACATGGACTAGTAATTCGACAAATCAAAGATGGAAGCTTCAACCTGAACTCATATCCCCATCTTGGCAACGCAGCAAGCTTTTCAATGTGGAATGCTTCACGAATTTTTAGATGTGAATGGATTTCTGACCGAAGGCATTTCTTATCGTCGTGTCATCTCAGGGATTTCCAGGGAGCTGAATAATAGAATTGATGTCTCACCGCAGTAGAAGAAGAACCCCATTCACAAGATGGAAACTTTCCCGTAAGTCACAATTCATCCTTATTATCATTTTACTATGTTGAATGTTAGGCGAAACTGCAGGGTGTAGAGGTTTGGAGGGGCTCTAAATACAGGTTTTCTAACAGCCAGTCTTGTGAACTGTCCCCCAAATGGTCAGAAATGTGGTAATATGAAAAGTACAACAGGGGCTCTCAAGCAAAATGTCACATAAAATATTACCAAAAGTAGAAGTTTGCTACTTTTTTGTACCAACAAGGGGGCCTGAGCCTCCTAGCACTACATCCTTGCCAATGATCTGTGCACTACACCTTTGCCTGAGGTATAGATGTGTAAAATTTCCCAGGGTTTGTCTCCTGAACCCTTCTTCTTCATGTTCTACCTTGTTCTGCCTTCAATTTTGGAGTTCTGCCTATTTCATCATAAAATTGATGCACAATTTCAAAATTTTGCCAGATCAATATCCAGGGCAAAAGATCTACTACCCAAAAAAAACATGGAATTTACACCCTTGGTTTTGGAAAAAAGATGTGTAATATCCTCATTCTAATGTTTTAAAGGCAGAATTGTTTATATTTGTTAAATTTACCTTTGCTATTCCAGCATTGATTCATATAAGCATGGCCTATATCATTTAAATTCATCTTTGTGTTACTTCAAGTTAATATCCTTAGATGGTATTTGCCATAGTAACAGTGGTTGCCCTTTCACCCCTAAATTTCTCTTTGATCCTTCTAAATATCTATACTCTTAATGCCCCTGAGTGTCCAAGTTTCTTTGATCATTTTATGTTTTAATATGACTCAAAAGTAAATTTCACTGGTATGTTAGTATTTATCCCTGTCAACCTTATTATTCTAGGCATAAAAAGGTTACAAACTCTTTTATGGATCAGCAGAAAGGATCTTGCAAAAAATGCTAGATGAAGGTTGGAGATTACATGAATGATTACATAATTATCTGGCTACTGGCTTTGTGGGAGTGATAACTTGCCCCTCTCTTCCATTCAAGAGTTACCACAAAGACCTCAACACATTATTCTGTTTTTGTATTAACATTTTCACAAAGGAGACTATTTTTCTAAAATTATCAAAATTTTATATATATAATTTGGTCATATATAATGTTTGCAAATTATTTAAAGCTAGTAACAACATATAGGTATTTTCTAGAGGTTTTGCAATATATTATTGTTTCATGATACTTTTATAAGAACATTTCTCATGTGCAATAGAAATTACAAATTGCTAGCTAGTTCACTGGCCTGATTGTGTAATTCAATGTAGCCAAGTATTTAAATACATCAAACATGTATTTATTATTCATAAATATAGCAGGTTGAGATTCTGACAGCTTAAAGGAGCCTACAAGGCCCCTGTAATAGCTTAAAGGTTAAATACAAAAATTATATTTACAAAAGTATATTGAAAAAGTTGAATTATTATATAATCTCAAATCCCTTTTTTGTTTGCATAGAAACAAATTTATAATTTTTGAAAAAGTTGTTTGACTCATGACTAATGGTAGGTTTTTAGTCCTGTCTTGAAAGTTGTATACTTTCTTGTCCATGTCCTCATTTGTCCTGTTTTATTTCCAATAAGTCATGTTGATATGAAGCTCTTTATCCTCATGAATATGTTGTATCAATTCATACAGCTTTCATTCCCGGTATACTGGTTTTGTTTTCTTCTTTCCTCCCGAATTAATTGCGCGATGGTTTTTAGCTGTTGCACTAAAGGAGGGGCTGATGAAAAAGCGCGAATCTTCTTTTTAAAATCAGGGAACTGGCTCTGTCAGAAAGATTCATGCGACAAAAAACTTCCATATTCGATCAGAGTATCAAGACTGATGAGCGATACTTCTCTCTTTATATCGATTCCAGATAAAAGTCTGGCCTTCTAACAAACATGCCGCTGCTAGGCCCTGTCTGCCATTTCGCTACGTTCTCGTTGACCCTTTGGACAGCCGATGATACTTGCCGCGAACTTACCGAGGCCGAAAATGCTTGTGACGTCAATCCGAAGATCTCCGATAACACGGTTGAAAAACAATTCAACTCAATGACCATTTTACAAACGCTAATAACTACAAAACGGTTAGAGATATGAAAAAAATAATAACAGATTCGTTTTCAGGAGGTCTGATTACATCGTGTTCTGAAATAAAAATTTTGGGCTGGAGTGGCCCTTTAAAAAGGCATTTGTTTCTATGGCTGCACTGTACAGAAATTTCATGGGACCGTGGGGTGACTGAAATATTTCATCAGTACCGGGGATGCACAAGGGGCGCATACCTCCCAAATTTCGGAAGAATACCCATTTCTTAAAGAAGTAACCTCTTGTAAAAGGTATTCTTTTCTGCGACATGGTACCTCTCCGGTGCCCCTCCACCTTTGAAGTGCTTCCGACGTACCTGTTTAAAACAAGAACAAAAATCCCGTTCCTTCATACCAGGGCAAAACTGTCATTTTAACGGCACCGATGTCGTGATTAGGGGGCTGTTACTTCATGCTGTATGAGAATGGAGAAATTGTAAAAGATACCCCAACCCCTATTACGAACTAAGGAAAGCATTCTGGATACCCTTAAGAATACGAGAGTCGTGTTGACTTCACCCGTGAAGGGGGCCCCCATATTTTTGTGTGATGCGTTATATGCCATATTCTCGTGCGTGAAATCGTGAAATCTCGATATTTTATGCGTGATTTCGTGAATAAAAATTACTACGTGAAACATGAATCATGAGTTTTCCTTGCGTTATGCTGTGAAAAGGCTTTAACCATCTGTGAATTCGTGAATGAAATTTCGAATGATAATTTAGAAGAATTGCCTCAATTTGGTGCGTAATAAACCAATAGTAGTTAAATCTCAAATAAGTATTCAAAGTTTGAAAGTAGTGTTGTAGTCCTTCAAACAGAGCTCTGATGAGAAATAGCTGATACTACATTTATTGTTTGCGTGAGCATGAAAATCCAATTTTGCAGTGCGTGAATGCGTGAAAAGTCAAAAAATTGTGCGTGAAAGCGTGAATCACAATCACTATGGGGGGGGGGGCCTCGTGAAGCCAACCCTGTCCGAAACTGCCGTTCCACAAGAGTTCGAAAATGTCCAAAGAAATCGAAACATTCCAAAAGTGTCCCTATATGCTCATCTAAATGTTTGCAGTTTAGCTTATGTGAGTTCTGATTAGATGATTCTGATTAGTATCTTTTATAGTGATTAGTAATAGTGATTATTAAATCAATCCTATATAATTTTTTCATTTAGGGTGCCTTGTATGTTGCCAATTTAGATCTTCAGTTCGTGTTTTCTGATTTTCCTTTTGATTCTTGTGAGATTGAACCTTGCGCGTAGTAAGTCTTCTGTATTTAGTCTCTTATACATTTGCAAAAAAATGTGGTGGTACAATTATTAAGAAAATGGCCTTAAAAACTGTCTAAAGAAAGTTTTCCTTCTTTCTCAAATCCCAAATCTATTTCTAGTGTAAAAATAGAAATAAATATGGGTTGGTTTAGCTCATTCTTATTTCTTGAAGCCCAAATTTTGCTTCACCAAATAGTGTTACGTCATGAATGGAAGAATTACATTTTCTTGTTCCACAAGGATCTTGTCTTAGTTCTCTTCTTTTCATTATTTGTATCAACGATTCCGTTTGGGCTAGAGAGCTGTCAGGTAAACAAGCAAGTTAATGGCACAATCGCATCTCTTCTTTTACAAAGAGTATCAATGACTTGAACATGACGCTAAGAAAGCGCTTTTTTCTTTGAAGAAAATCTTTCCTCTGTCCAGTCTAAACAAAATCCACCCGATTATGCTTGGGCATATCCATGTGGTTCTTTTCCTTCAGCTAGATCACATTGGCACAGTCACTGCAAAGCACAGTAGAAGATAACGGATTATCGATTGTAGGCATAAAGCTAAATCGACTTTAAAGGGCTTTATTTCCAATTGATCTTAAGTCCATCGAACTTTACAATAATTTTGTATTTGATTTAGCTTTCAAAATTATATAAAATATCACATAACTGCTTGAATGTTCTATATGATTTAATTTTAGAATGGAACTTTGTTACATTTATCAGGAATATATTTCAATTTCCGTACATTTGTTTTTAAACTTATATTCATCCTTAAGTGGATTTATCAGTAGTACTGAATAATTACTAACAATTTTGGGGATTGCATAACAAAAGTTGTTGAAACTTTAATTGCAGGAATCGATGTCCGACACGTCAAATGAGTGGTTTCAGGTTAAAAATTGGAGAATAGGGCGAAGGTGGCTCAGTTAAAATATTAACTTTTTGTACGGCGTAATTTAAGTATTGTACAAA